ATCAGCTAGCTAGTCTTGGAGTTCGGTTACTGGACTCATGTGATATTGGAATTACTATTCAGAATACAAAAATATCCTTGTTACTAACTAAAGTGAAGAAATGCCAGTACAAGGATTCTGTGTTAGTTCATTATAGGGATACCACCCCTCAGAATGAGAAGACACCGTTGACGATTATGCGTCCCTAATGTTGCAGGGTTGTGTCGGTAGATTATGGGAGAAACTCACTATTCTCGTTATTCTATCCATCCCAGAATTACAAAGATGTATCATGATATCAGGGAAGTATATTGGTGGGACGAGATGAAAAAGGATATAGCGGAGTTTGTTGCTCAGTGTCATAACTGTCAGCAAGTTAAGATTGATCATCAGAAACCCGGTGGATTATTGCAGGCTATAGAGATTCTGACTTGGAAATGGGAAGTAATCAATATGGATTTCATTGTAGGCTTACCTCGTACCCAGCGTAAGTTCGATTCGATATGGGTGATTGTTGATAGGCTTATAAAGTTAGCCCATTTTCTGCCTGTTAGGACTACATACTCCGCAGAGGATTATGCAAGGCTTTATATTAAGGAAATAGTACGACTACATGGAGTCCTTGTATCTGTTATCTCGGATGAAGGAGCTCAATTTGCAAATAACTTCTGGAGATCCTTCCAAAAGGGATTAGGGACTTAGGTAAGTCTCAGTACGACATTCCATCCCCAGATAGACGGACATGATGAGCGTGATATTAAAACACTTGAGGATATGTTACGAGCTTCAGTGATAGACTTCAAGGGTATCCGGGATGATCATCTGTCCTTTATTGAGTTCACATATAATAATAACTACCATTCCAGTATCCAGATGGCTCCGTACAAAGCTTTGTATGGGCTCATGCGTAAATCTCCTATAGGGTGGTTTGATGTTGGACAATCTATACATGGGCCACACCTCATTCAGCAAGCCATAGAAAAAGTAAAGCTTATCCGGGATTGACTGTTGACAGCTCAGAGTGGTCAGAAGTCATATTCTAATGTGCGACCACGAGATTTAGAGTTCGGGTTTAATGACTGGGTATTCTTAAGAGTGTCACCTATGAAGGGTGTGATGAGGTTTGGCAAGAAAGGCAAACTTAGCCCATGGTATATTGGGCCTTATAGGATCATTCAGAGAGTGGACCAAGTAGCTTATGAGTTAGAATTGCCCTCGGAAATAGAGTCTGTCCATCCGCTTTTTCACGTATCTATATTACGGAAGTGCATTGACAATCCTACCCGAGTGGTATCCACAGATGATGTACATATTACAGAGGACTTGTCATACACGAAAATTTCGGTTGCCATCCTAGACCGACAAATCCGCAAGCTATGGAATAAGGAGGTAGCCTCCGTAAAGGTACTTTGGAGAAACAACAATGTGGAAGAAATGACTTGGGAGGCCGAGGAAGACATGAAGTCTAAATATCCCTACTTATTTCCTCCTCTAGAGAAGGGTCCGACTGAGACGTCGTAACCTTAAGGAAGAGTTGGTAGTAGTGTTGTTGCAAAGGCGACTCTGCCAAGGTTATATAGATCCCGGAAAGTCAAATATTTGGGGACGAATGTTTCTAAGGAGGGAAGAATGTTACATCTCACGTTTTCGTATGTTAAAAGTTTCGGCTTCAGTTAATCAACGTAGACTCAGTGATGAGATTATCTTGAGGTAAACGTATTTATGCTATTTATAACAAGTGATAGTAAGTGTCATGAAGGATAAAAGGTACACGAATTAAAAAAAATGAGTTTCGTTGAAGGTTGCCGATTTGGAGTAAAATACGGTCCGAGCCATAATACCATGTCTTTATGGACTAGTGCCATAAAAGATACCCCAAGACCACGATAGTAAGGTACGTAAAGTGTATTAAAAATAAGTATTAATTTAAGTAATGTGAGATAATTCTTAATTATGTAGGTAATTAGTTATTTAACAGGTAATAGGACATTACCTAATTACCTAATAAGTGGATAAAGATTAATAATTTCCATCCTACCCTCCAAAAATGTGGCAGCCAACCACTTTCCAAACAATGACTCATTGTCACGTTAGAATAGGTGGCAACAAATGGATAATTAAAAACAATACTTCATATCTTTAAAGCATGAGCAACACCACTTCACTTCTTAATAATTCCTTACACAAAAGATCCTAAACGTTAGCTTTGCACTTCAGATGTGAGCTTATTTCAAATGTGATCTTCTTTCTTTACCTTAGATATATAAATGCTTAAAAATATTCCTATAAACTTCCATCCTTACAATTTGAAACATTAGCTATAAATTGATAAGTTAAGGAGTACTATAGGACTTAGCAATTCTTAAAGTTTTCATCAAAAACGTGAATTCTTGCAACTAAAGGAAATCCAACGAGAAATGTTAGAACCGTAGCAACGTAAAATTTTGCGGTTCTAAAGAAGTACTGTACAATCTTTTCCAAAAATATTGTACGGATTTTTTCTTACTCCAGGTATGTTAAGGCTATTTGTTCTTTGTTTTTGGCATGATCCACATAATACAAATAAAACGAGCAAAATACGAAACTTTCATAAATGACTCTATTCATAGAGATATTAGGAGTGCCTATATTCTCAATTCCCATGTGATTTATTATTATATCTTCTGTTCACGGGTCTCAGAAAAATATTTATTTGATAAAGTTTATCCGAAAGGTATATTAATTTTTATGGCATTCCGAGAAGATCTTATTAATGTATATTCTTATACATTTCATGCATTTATACATGTACATTGACCCATGACCAGATGGCGTTATATACACGCATATATGCATATTATATTTATATGGGATACGAGAAAAAGGTTACGGCATAATATATGCACCACCACCTGATCAATTGGTATATGTTAATGATGTTGCCCACAGTGGCCGAGACGATATGATGGGATGCCCTCAGAGGCTTGATGATATTATGTACACCTATACCTATGCATGACACAATATTTATATGCACGTGCATGATATTATAAATATTTTAGTATTTACAAAGATATTCAGATTTACAGATGGATTTCTAATTTCCATGCTTCATCTATGTCTTTTACGCACTGATTTTTATGTCTTACATACTCAGTACATTTTTCGTACTGACACCCTATTTCACGAGGCCTGCATTTCATGCCCGCAGGTGCAGGTAGACAAGCTGATGGTCCCCCTTCTTAGGATCCTTGATCAGCGAGAGTTGGCGTGCTCCACTTGATTCGGAGCTGCTTTTTATTTTGGTACGATATGTTTGTATATATATATATATATATATGGGTATGACGTGACTCAGTCCCGTCTTTGTACAATTGTATTTCTATTAGAGGTCTGTAGATAGTTATGTACAGTATGTCTAGTTGGATAGTATGTGGACTTGCTGGCTTCCAGTTTTGAGGTATACAGTTGTCTATAGCAGCCTTATTGGCTCGCCCTACGTATGTTGCACGTATAGGTACATGTGCCTTTTGGGTAGGTTTCCTTCATGTATGTTATTCTCGTAATTCAACAGATGTTATTCAGGTTTATATCTTAGATACATGCTTAGGGGTGTTTGATAGGTAGGACTCGGTCACCCGTCGTGGCCCATCAGTTTGGGTCGTGACACCCTTGGACCGGTTTTTGTCCCAAATGGGAGATGAGGTTTTTGATGAGGCAACCATTGTCGTGTTGACTTAGAGAAATTCAACGGTATCCGAGGTTCCCTACAATAAGCCTCAAGTACTGTAGGGCATTGCCCTCGAATGTCTACTTTGTTGCAAGGAAATTACTTCAGGACATCGGTCTCGATAGGAGAACTTTGTAATGTCCCAAACGGTTGGATGAACCGTTTCCGTATAGAATAGTCGAGCCCCAATGGCAAAACATGTACGCATGTGTCACACCTCCTTTTTACTATACCCTAGAAGGATATATAAGGGAGTTTTTCCAATTTAAGTGACAATCGAAACGTGATTATTTTATTTTTAAAAAATCAGAGTCGCCACTTGAAATAATTTTATGGTGTCCCAAGTCACCAGTTCAAATCCCGAATCGAGGAAAAGATTGGCTCTGTGTTACAGTCCACGAACGTAGAAATTCGGGTAAGAAATTCTGTTAACCCGGGAGAATGTGTTAGGCATTCCCGAGTTCCGTAGTTCTAGCACGATCGCTCAACTGTTATTATTGGCCTATTTATTGAAAACACTTAAAAACCTATGTGTATTTTTAAATTTAAAACCGCTTTTATTTAATTATTTTTTAGGAAAGATTCAACGTCATCTAAGATACGTCTTGAACCACGTCACATAAATGCACCCGCGGTCCATGACACATTTTATCTAACGCTGTTGAGATTTGGATTTGGGTCACATAAATGCACACCCAAATTTTTAGAAATTAAGCATCGCACCTCGTCATGGGAACCGTACCTGTAGCTATGACAATTTTATTATAACGCGCCTAAAGCAACTAGCGCATTTAAATATTATTCAATCTCTACCTTTGAGAGTAATTGTAAAGGTCATGAATTAAAGAAATATTGAAGTAAAGAATTATTCATTTTATGGAGCTTGGGTAATTAAGGTGGTTACCATCAGTAGTTGGGTTTCTCCTTGAGTTCTACGCGACAAATGTGAGGAGACGGTGTTGTGCCAAATGAATAAAAGAGTCATCAACTACTTTTATACTTTTCTTTATAAGGTTAATTTAATTTTTATTTTTTTTCCATCGTACCCTAAATTTACACCTTCAGTCTTAAAAATCACCTGACTCCTAAACATTTAACATAAATTCTTATAAGCCAAGAACTTCTCCAAATAACGGGCCAGTTTCTACCATTATACATACTAACAACTGTTTGATTAAAAAATATATATATAATTCACTATCCACACAGCCACGTAAAATTGAAATCAAAACATGTAAACAAGGAGAAAAGGGACAAAAGTAGCAGCCTGTAACTGATGGAAAAAATAGACGAAGGAGTTAAAATATCGGACCTTTGGGTTGAATTTGAGCCTCAGTTACAATCGACTCGAAAATTAGACAACTCTGGACCGAAATGCTTTCCAACGACCTCATCGCCTCGAATGACCTCAGAACCGCCTCTCCGACAGCCTGGAAACTCGCTGGAAAACTCGAACTAGACCGCTGAACTCCGGTTGATTTCGAGGTTGTTTTTGGCTATTTTTCGAGCTGGATTTTGGACTATTTTTGCTGGTTTTTAGGAGAGGAAGGCGACTGGTTGATGCTACTGCTGATGCTATTAGAATTGCTAAAGATATCGGGAAAGTACATCAAGAAGATCCAAAGCAGCAGAAGGTTCCAACCCATTGTCGTTGCATCTCAACCTTTTAATCAAGTGTGCGGCTGAAACTCTCCAAAAATCAAAGAGTTNAATTGTCGTTTCATCTCAACCTTTTAATCAAGTGTGCGGCTGAAGCTCTCCAAAAATGAAAGAGTTTGTGGAAGAATTTTTGGAATTTTCCCGCTAGGTTAGGGTGTCTTCATTTTTTTTTTGTTTTTTCTTTGAATTCTGAAGAAGACCAACGGCGGACTCGATTTCCTAAGGTCTGCTACTGTTAAAAATGGAGAAGACGATCCAAAAGGGGTGGGGGTTTTTTTATTGAGTTCAGCGGCATATGTCAGTATATTTAGGCGTATTTTTTGTGTGTGTGTTTTTAGGTCCCCTTCAGCATTAGGCATTACCCCTATTATATAGATCTAAGTCTAAATGTATATTTTTGTGCTAATTTCTCTTAGGTCCTTATGGTCTTTTTATTTATTTAGTGTTCCAAAAACAGTCTAGAAAGGTCCCTAGGATTAGCTTAGTGGGTATTGGGTATTGGGCTTAAGGAATGAGATAGAAACTTGGGCCTTTATGACTAGCTAGGCTTAAACTTAGCTTAATTAACTAAAAATATTATCAAAATTATTAATTAGCCCTACTTAAGTAAAAATAATTATTAAAATAAGACTGACCTTTAAAACAAAACTATTTTTTGGTATTCTTTTCAAGGTTTAAAAAAATGACTATAAAACATTAATGAACCTATTTTTTGTAATTTTCGTTTTCTTGTAATAAAATAAAAGTAAAAGAGTAAAAATGAGTTGAATAGCTATATTAGGCCTAAATTAAATATTTACATGCTAAAATATGTAAAATCTTGGGGAGGGTAAAAAATCACATGTCTACAGCTGCCCCTCTTTGACTGGAAAGATGAAGTATTTTCAGACAAAGAACGACTAGACAGGTTTTTTGACCCGACCCTTATATAAGGAGACCAAAACTAAGAGAAAAGGGGAGTGTGACCAAGTCCTGATATCTGAGCTGCCTACATATCCTTGGCTATAAAGGAATCGGGCCACATGTAGTTCAGAGGTGAGTAAGATGATGGAGAATGCCGAGGTAGAGAGCCGGTCGAGGTGCCATTCCGCCGAGTTTCCGGTCCACGGTCCCATTATTACATCAAAATCAAAAATGAAAAAGACTAACTAAGCCTATCAGTTACGAGTTACAAAATTCCTATCTATGAGTCTTTTGAAGCTTAATCTTGAGTCTTGGTTGGTTCTTCATACGGACTCTAATCTGAATCTTGATGCTTGTTAGTTGCAGGTGTTGGTTCAATCTTCTTCAGATTTTTCAGATCAAGACGGGACATGCAGAGCTTGTGAATTTAATTATGTCTTGAGCAGCCCACATCTTTTCTCCGCTTCTGCACTTTGGTTCAGTTTTTTTTCTTTTATTCTTGATTGAGGCTTCTTTTTTGTTATCTCGGACCCCTGTCGACCCGCATTTTTGAGGCGAGCTTCTGCTACTTCTAACTTGAATTGGATTCTGAAAGGATTTCCCTTGTTCTCCAGGTGGGTGCCTGATTGCTGAACTTGACATGTCTTCCTTCGAAACTTGAACCGTTTTCCCTTATTCTCCAAGTGGGCGCCTGATTGCTGTACTTGAACTGCTTTCCTTTGAAACTGCTTTCCCTTGAAACTTGAACTGCTTTCTTTTGAAACTGCTTTTCCTTGAAACTTGAACTGTCTTCCCTTGTTCTCCAGGTGGGCGCCTGATTGCAACAAAATTGATAAGACAAAAGAATTTTTTTGCCGCAGTTTGCACTAGGAAGATTTGTAAGTTGTTAGCAAAACTGTAAACCACTTATGCTATTGATGCAATGATGAAAGTAAAATAAAGAATAAACTAGGAAAACTATAAACTAAGCTTGACTAAAGTAAAGACTGGCCCTATTCTCCAGGCGGGGCCCCTGATTTCAAGAAAACTAAACATTGATAACTTAAGAAAAATTAAAAATTGACCCATTTTTTTTTCAAATCTAGACTTCCTTTTTTTTTCAAAATATCCTAGGAGAAAATTCGTCAAACTAGGTTTTCTAGCTTAGGAGAAAGATTCATCAGACTAAGACATTAATCCTAGGAGGAAATTTATCAGACTAGGCCTTTTTTTTTTTTTGTTTTTTTTGTTTTGGTATCTTAGGAGAAAGATTCATCCGGCTAAGACGTTTACCCTAGGAGAAAATTCATCAGACTACGTTTTCTATCTTAGGAGAAAGATTCATCAGGCTAGGTCTTCTATCTTAGGAGAAAGATTCATCAGACTAAGATTTTGATCCTTGGAGAAAGTTCATTAGACTAGGTCCCTTTTTTTGTTTTCTTAGGTGAAAGATTCATCAGACTAAGATTTATATCTTAGGAGAAAATTCATCAGACTAGGTCTTCTATCTTAGGAGAAAGATTCATCAGACTAAGATTTTGATCCTAGGAGAAAGATTCATCAGACTAGGTCTTCTACCTTAGGAGAAAGATTCATCAGACTAAGATTTTTATTGAGAGGAAAATCCATCAGACTAGGACTTTTGATCCTACAGGGAAAAATGTGAAAATCAATTGCAAGATTTTATGCACAATAGCAAGACAAATAAAGGAAAAGATTTGAGAACTTTCCCTTTGTCGGCTTTCCTTGTCTTTTCTTTTTCTTCTCTTTTTTTTGTTGTTTTTTTTCTTCTTTTTTTCATTTTTTTCTCTTTTTGAATCACGTTCCTTGCACCACTTTGTTCCTGTTTCATACAAAGAAAAATTTGTCTGTTTTGAAAATGGTGGTCGATTTGTGGCCTTGAGTCCTGGGCAGCTTGGCTTCTGCTCAATCAGATTGAGTTGGCTTCAAGAGACTTTTGCTCAACATTAACCCTAATTTTTTCACACCTAGTATCATTTGTACTTGCGGCTCAATCAGCCTTATCTCAACTGGAGATCTTTTCCTAGGTGACCCTTTCCGATATCTTGAATGACTTTCTGCTTTTTGAGCAATTTGTCTGGCAAAGAGAATCACCAGTTATCTTTCTTGCACCAAGTAGGTTGAGAAGAGTCTTTTTGGGGAAGCTTTTGTATGAATCCTCAAGGTATATTGACAGAAACAACTTAGTGCTGGCCAAATTTGCTTTATGCAATTGAAAAGCTGGTAGCAAATTTTGAAATCTTTTCTTGCTTGTTTTGACAAGGATCGACTCGGAGTGAAGGACACAATGATACAAAGAAACAAGTATTAACAAGAAATGCCCCTGTCGAAAGGACAGAAGGAAGAGTTCTTTTTTCTTTTCTTTTTTCAATAACTAGCCTTAATGATTATGACATGCATTTTTGACTTAACGGATGATCTACCAAGCTAATCCAATCTTTCCTTTTACCATTATTATGACCTTTGAAGTCGGGCTTGTTTATGCAAATCCTTTGCTTCAGCTTCACGACTCACTTTCGACTAATGGTGCCCCAAGGAATTTTCATCAACAAGCCTCTCTCATTTATTCATCTCTACTTACCGTCACCTTACTGTGCCCGTGAGGGTTTTGACTAGTAAGACTCTCATTTTTCTTTTTCTTTTTCTTTTTATTTTTCTTACTTTTTGTGAGTAACTTGACAGTGTTATATGTCATGTGACAACCGTTGCTCATTGCATGCTTCTCTTGGCATTCTTGAAGGCATGTCGGGAAGTTTTTATTTGGAAGGTTTTTGGATAGGGTTGGACGAAAAGCCGACATGAGGCTTAAAACAGACTAAAGATGACGGGGTTGTATACTGACAATTTTTGGGATCGACTTATTTAAAAATGAAATAAAATCTTTGCCCCAGTTTTAGCTATTGGGGATTTTTTGGGATTTTTCTTTTTTTTTCTTTTTTTTTTGAATTCTTATTTGGCTGGACCGAACCGTGAGGCTGCCTACGTATCCTCTTTTAAAGGAATCAGGTCTAACGTAGTTCAAACATCTGACCTAACTAATTTTTTTTTTCATTTTTCTTTTTGTGTTTTTTGTCTTTTGTTTTTCTTTTTTCTATCTTTTTGTTTCTTTTTGTTTTCAAAACAAGTTGCCTCAGCTTCTATTTTTTGAGGGCATAGACCTTTGACAATTCTTTTCTTCTTCATTTTTTTTCTTGAACTTTCTAAGAATTGCCCTAGTTTGTACTTTTGGGACATGGACTCTTTTTTTTCTTTTTTATTTTTTTTTAATTTTTTATTTTTTTTCGACTCTAAACTTGATTCCAAAAGAAGGTGGCCAAAGAAAATAACACAGGCTCAAAGGGGTGACAAAGGGTATAAAGTGTTTGGGTAGCAGAAAAAGGGCCTTCCAACCTTGAGAACGCCAAACATAGTAACTTTTCTTGATCACAACATTGACGAACATGTCTGTCTTCGTGGTGTGACGTGGTCACAAGACACTTTCCATCCCTTAATGTCAAACTTTTCAATAAACTTCAATTGATTAAACATCCTCAAGCCTGATCTTCACAATGATTTGAAGGTGAATTTTATTCGACCTTATTTCCAAAGTACTTCAACTCTTTATTCATCCTCAAAAGTGTTTTTATCCAATTCTAGATTAAATCAGTTTCTAAGCTCTGGCCAAAATTTCCGCATGCATGTCATGTCATTAGAACTAGCGAGAAAAGAACTATAAATAGAATGACATGAAAGGACAAACTGTATTTTATTGAATAAAGATGAAGGGGTAAAAAACATAAAATCCGAGTTACAACCCAAAAATAACCCGGATAATGAAAATAGAAACTAAATAGACAGACAAGACTCACACAAAAAGAATGGAGGGATAGAAGAGTTTGACTCAACAAAACAAATAAAATCTGGATGACAACCCTGAAATAACCCAGATAGTATAAAAAACATAAAAACAAGCTACCAAGATTCCTTCCTAGTAAGGAGAGAATAACTTTTCAATTTCTAAGCTCGACATTTAGCCACAAATTTGCTCATGAGAATCACCATGGCCTTCTCCAATTTCAGTCGGCAAGCTCTCGCGAGGATTCTCATACTCCATGTCACCGGGAATCATCCCCACAAAGTGTGCATCATCATGTGCAG